GATATCTTCTCCTGTTTCTTTCTTTAAAAACTTGAAGTTTTTAAAACTTGCCTGACCATCTGCCATTTGGGATATTGGTTCTTCAGCCTATGGCTTCTTCTCTCAGATCTTGAAATTCATCAGCCAATTCTCTACAATGAATCTCCACACTTATATACAACTTATTACCAGTTTCTCTGGATACCCAAATAATACACAACCATTTCTTCCTGTTTTATTTAGTTTTACATGTACATTCCATACTTTTTTATATTAATTACAGTTTATTCACTTTGTATCACAGCTGTAGCCCCCTCCTTTATTCCCTCCCAATTCAACCCTCCCTCCCTCTTCTCCTCCCATGCCCCTCTCCAAGTCCACTGATAGGAGAGGTCCTCCTCCATTCCATCTGACCCTAGCCTATCAGGTGTCATCAGGACTGGCTGCATTGTCTTCCTCTATGGCCTGGCAAGGCTGCTCCCTCCTCAGGTGGAAGTGGTCAAAGAGCCCAGCCACTGAGTTCATGTCAGAGACAGCCCCTGTTTCTGTTACCAGGGAACTCACTCGGATACTACATTCCATATTTTAATCATAGCTACCTCCTACATCATACTACAGTTGTCTCCCCACTTCCTGGTTCTCCTCCCAAATAGTCTGCCTTCTACTTTCATTTATTTTTCCTTCTTAACCTAGATTTTGCATATGACAGAAATGTAACATTTATCTTTCTAGGTGTTTTATTTTGCATAGCATGATGTTAAGTTCTATCCATTTCCCTATAAATATCTAAATTACATTCTTGTTTCTAGCTGAATAAAACTCTATTGTGTATATTTACCACATGCATTTAAGACTTTTAAATAGATTTAATGGTTAAGTTAAAAAGATTTATAATTAAATTCCCTCCCCCTTTTAGTTACCAAATACAGTGTCTCCTCTCAGTGTATTTTAGTGTGCAGGTGACTTTCTCTACAGAGAAGTAATATCATACGCATCACTGGGCCCCCCCCGTTTTGGACACACAGCCATTTCTCTAGTCTCTATCTATGTTAACCATTGTCTGAAAACATAATTCTTTAAAAGCTTAATCTGTATAACAACAGGAACTGAATTATTTTAAACATATGCAAATGTTGTTGGATTAATAATACAGAATCTAAATGTGAGTGTTACTACCTCATATAAAGTCCTATGACATGGTACTACAAGCATTTCTCCTCAGTTAATAGTATTTATTTGTTGCTCTTGCAGAGAAACTACGTTCAGTTCCCAGCACCCACATCCTTGGGCATTTCACACACATGGTACAGGTGAAATACACTTGTAAAATAAATCTTTTTTAAGAGTCTTATAAACATCAGTGGATATAAAATCTAACTCTAGTCATGACATGTTAATACCATTTATGCTAAAGGTATGCTTAAGCTAGGAAAAGCCGGAAACAACTCTCAAGTTCAAGTCTAAAAGACAATTGATTTAAGTCAGACAGCAAGTTGGAAAGGTGAATAACAGGTATAGAAGGGGTCCTGGACTCTGTGCTCCATGCTTACCTGGCCAGATGTAAGAAAGCTGTTTAATATCTCTGAGTCTTATTATCCTCACTTGAGTAGAGTAATACTGCCCACCTTTGCAGAGAAACAGGAGGGTGTGCCTGGTCTCCTGTTTGACACATAGTAAGCACCTCACAGTGCTTTCTATTTGTGTAAAATATATATAATCATAGAATATTATATTTGTCCTCATTATTTCCTACTCATGTCCAACAGAAGAGCCTGATAAAGACTTGTCTACCAAGTAATAAATAATGTCCCAGCTTTATCATCCAACATTCACTGGTACTAACCCTACTCCATACCCCAGCTGGGCCCTTAAACCACCATAGTAAACGCTATGAAGTTCCATGGTGACCAGGCTCTAGAATTAGCCAAGGCCAGTGATCAATTGCCCCTAGTTGGTCTCCTTTATGCCTTAAAGAATTTCTACTTCTGGTTCCTCTACCCAAGACATTTTTTCTCTCCTTACCTTGTTTAGTCAGGCCTCAAAGTTATGCTCGCACAGTAACTCCTTGGACAAGCCAATTAGACCAAAAGAACCCTTATTGTGTGCTCTTGGAGCCTCTGTTCTTTCTTTCATTACACCCAATTGACTTATTTTTGTGATATGTTTAACTTTAGTTGTCAACTTGGCACGAACTCCAACATGTGACATTAACTGCTGCCCACCATGAATGTCCTAAATCTAGAATCACCTAGGAAGAGAGGCATGCATTTTGCCCTCCTTGTTCCCTAACAGATCTTAGTACATGGTGTAGGACTTGACACACTGTATGCCCAACTAACTGTCACTGGAAGAGGAACTACCCCATTAGTACATATGGCTAGAGTATGTGTACATGTGCGCACTCACACAGGTGGTTCATATATATGTACTGTGTCTACACACATGTGGAGACCAGAGGTCAACCTTGTGTGTCAATTCTCAGTCACTGTCCACCTTGGCTTTTTTCTAATGACGTGCATTTATTTATGAAAGGCATGAGCCATAGCACACATGTGGAGGTCAGAGAACAATTTTTAGGAGTCAGTTCTCTCCTTCCAGCATGTTGATTCCTGAGATCAAACCCAGGTTGGCAGGCTTACATGACAAACATCCTTATCCCTGAGTCCTCGTGACAACTGCCCTGTGCTGGACAGAGGCCCTCTCACTGGCTGGATGAGCAGCCCCAGGGTCCTACCTGTCACTAACCCAGCAATAGAATTACAGTGTTCAGTGCAGTTCTTCCACATGGATTCTGGAGACCACACACAGGTACCCACACTTTCACAGTGCGAACTTTCTCTACTGAGAAAGCACAGTCACAGTCTATATGCATGCTTGAATTTTCAATAAATCTTGACCTTCTAAAACAACTGTTTCCTTGTATAGTCCTATTGATAGTTTTGTTTGTTTGTTTTTTGTTTGTTTTCATAAGTTGTGAACTTCATCTTTAAAGTTCAGTGTAGTCAAAATAACAAATGCTTGTGTATTCATTTCCCATTATTGCTGTGACAAACTACCTGAAACCCAGGGGTTTTAAAATAGCACAAATAAAATTTCTTCCAGCTCTAGGCACCAGAAATGAAAAATGTGTTTTAGGGGGTGACTGTAATATTTCTTGAAGTTCCAAGCTTCTAACGGCTGTGTTCCTGGCCCCTTTTAACCTCACTCTGATCTCAGTTTGCCCTCCACAGTCTCGTTTGAAGCTAATCTCCTGTCTCCCCTTTGCCCTTAAGCGCCTTTATGATTATATTTGGCAAACCTGGATAATTCAGTATCATTTCTCCATCTCGAGAGGTTACTCTAAACACATCTACAAAGTTCCCTTTGCCATGAAAAATGATACGTTCTGGGACTTCAGTGTGGGCACCTTTTGGGTTGCATTACTCTGTCTGCCACAGCATGGGAGGAACTGAGTGTAAATGTCAGCACTGTCACCCGCATACCTACCTCTGAAAGTGTTTTGAGTCCCTAATGACTATATCCTGAAGTAAAGCTAAGAAATACATCACCCTGCTCCGTGGCCTTGCCTGATTATATAGCCTGCTTGCAGAACTACAGGCATTATTTTGTGGCTCACAGGGCATAATGCATGTAAAGCATCTGCTGTCATCTCTTTCTACTTCAGGAGAATTCAGGAATTATTATATGCTTTCATTGTGACTAAATGTAAGGAAACATAGGATGAAGCAGAGGAGGAAGGGAAACAGGACCTCTTATAGGCTGCTGAGGTGAAAGGAAATAAGTCGACTTTCTGGAAGACAATGTAATGAAGGTAATGAAAACTCAAATAAAGGTTTCCTTTTTATCTCACTAATCATCCATTTCCAGAAGTGTACCTCGAGGGCTTGGTTGAACTTCTGTACAAAAGCAGCTAGTGAAATGCTTTGTAGGATACACCGAGGAGGAGTGGGAGCATCCACATTACAGAGAACTCAGCCACATAAAGGGTTTTAAAGGATTATTACATCAGATATTTTTGGAATATTAGTGACAAACTCAGGGCCTACCACTGAGGTATATCCCAGCACTGTTCAGACTTTATGTGAGAGGTCTCCGTCTGTAGCTCAGGCTGGCCCTGAATTTACCACAGCAACTGGGATAGCTGGGATTTCAGCCTGTCCCACGAGGATAAACCAAAACTCAGGGTTCAAGTCTGGATTATTTATTATTTCAAAGAGGGGTGTGTGTGTGTGTGTGTGTGTGTATGGAGTAGGGGCCACTAAATAGTACAGCTTTCGTGATGTTGACCGCGGTTATTCCTGTGTAATGGCACAGTCATTTTAGATTTACTTGTATTTTTTATGGGCTAACAATAAAGGGGAGATGAGGGATTCTGAGAGAACAGTTCTAGATTGCTTCCCTGGCATTTCTAGGCAGTTACAAACACGACTCAAGATGTCCCTCTAGTGGAAGGCGGAGTGACTGCAGCTGCACAAGATTGTGACTTTGTAACACAGCTTATTGTATTCTAGACCTTTGCAAACAAGAAACAGAAATTCATAAAGTATTGTGCTTATTCAAAATTTTCGAGGCGGGGGAGGAAATAGCTGCAAAAGAAGAGACTACACCGCACGCTGGAAAAGCGGTGCTGATTCTGGGTGCACTTGAAATATTGACAGCTAAGATTCTGAACTGTCGATATTAGAGGATTACGCTGATGAGGCTCCTCTGAATTTTGTTAGTTTATGTTCTAGGCCTAAAGAACCAAAGGACGGGGAAAGCCAAAGCCTCCCGGTTGCCGTCCGAACAAGAACACCTTTCCGCGCGCTAACGCCTTCGATTGCTTTCGGCGCCTCTCGGCTGAGTTCGGCTGGATCCGGCACTCGGGCTCGGGGACACTCGGGCCACTTTTGTCCCGCCTCTGCTCTTCTTCGGCTACAATCGGCAGGTGCGCTCCTCCAGCCTCGGCGTCCTCCCTGCGGTAGGCCGGCGCTCGGCTCGACTCGGTTCTTTCCGTCCCTGTCTTCCGCTGACCCGGAAGAGCGCCCATGGAGACAGGCCTGCCGGGTGTACGCCATGCCATGGCGCCGCTGCTGGAGTACGAGAGGCAGCAGGTGCTGGAACTGCTCGACAGCGACGGACTGGCGGTGTGCGCCCGCGGGCTCGGCGCCGACCGTCTCCTCTACCATTTCCTGCGGCTGCACTGCCACCCGGCCTGCCTGGTGCTAGTCCTCAACACGCAGCCGGCCGAAGAGGTGCGGCCGGGAGATGAGTGGATCTGAGGGTGTGGGGAGGTCCCAGCCGGTGCAGGTCTCAAAGGGGGCACGAAAGGGAATGAGTTGGGGTTCTGGGAGAGATGCGGGCCACCTACTTAGTTCCTAGCACGCTGCGAAGGAGGGAAGAGAATCCCGGGGAAGTCCAAGTGGCTGACACGACTTGGGAGGGCATTAGGTGAGGGTTCTTGAAAGGAGATTCTGGACTCTGACACTGTAGGAGGCCCTGCGAAGGAAAAAACGCATCCCAAGGAAGTCTTGGGTTCCTCGCTTGACATGGGAGGACATTGAATAGAGGTCCTTGAGAGAGATACAGGGCCTAGACACAGCTCGAGGACACTGAGAATAAAGGTCCCACACACTTCCTGACACTGGAAAAGAGGGGCGACTAGGGTACACAATGAGATAGGAGAGTGAATTGGATTGTACTGCTAAGGACAGAAGCTGTCAGAAACAATATGGGTAGGAATAATGTGTAAGTCTGGAAGTTGGAAGTGTGTTTCTGGAGACAGAGTGGGGTCTCTAAAAGGACAGTGATGGAGATGGCAGGGTTTGTGAGTGCTAGAAAATAGAAGAGGAGGCTTTGAGGCTCACAAAAGAAGAGGAAGGTACTAGAAGCTAAAGCTAGGGGAGAGATTAATCTAGGTTAAGGAAAATAGGTAATCCTGAGGAAAATTGAATGGGACACACACACACACACACACACACACACACACATTGCTGGGGGATGCTTAGAGGTGGGGCTATAGCCTAGCATGAGAAATCTGATGATCCCGTAGGTATAGTGACCAGAAAGAAAATGTCAGCTGAAAAGAGTCACCACCAAGGCCAAGGCCCTGTTGGATTCACTTAGGTATCTCCAGTGCTTGGCATGGACCTTGCTATGTAAGATGCCCAGAAAAGTGGCTGTAGACATTCTGAAGTCTCTCTAGGAAGCATCAGTATAGAGCAGTCCAAGTCATTGTCTGCAGAGAGGAAACCCATATCCCACAGAGGATGTTGGCAAAAAACCTGACTGTGGTGGGAAATAGTTTCTAGGTAGTAGAAAACTTCTAACCTGAGATTTTAAAAGGTTATGTTTTGGGGGTTTGTGATGAATTGCAAATAATGACTGAAGCACAGTTATTTCATAGTGTAAACTCCAAAGCCACAACAAGCAATCACCTGAATTAGAGTAATTTGATTGGCTGATTGGGTACAAAGCAAAAACTTAGTTTGTATATCTGCTGTGATGTTCATGAGCTCTTGAAATAAAGACATCACTTTAAATCCCTGCAACCTATGTTAAAAGTGCTCTGCCCTATATTAAACAGCTGACTAATGAGTTTAATTTGATTTAGGAATATTTTATCAATCAGTTGAAGATAGAAGGAGTTGAACACCTCCCTCGTCGTGTGACAAATGAAATTGCAAGTAACAGTCGCTATGAAGTTTACACACAGGGTGGTATTATATTTGCAACAAGTCGAATACTTGTGGTTGATTTCTTGACTGATAGGATACCTTCAGACTTAATAACTGGTAAGAATTTGAAATCTTATATGTGATGTGAACATCTCCTGCTATGTGTCTCCTCTGCTAAATTCTAAACTGGCTCTTATTATTAACCATTGTAGTTAAGCTGTTGGCAAAATACTTGATGCATTATAGATGCTCAGCAAAGATTTATGACATAAATAAGTAGGGTTACATGTCATGTAAAGGTGACAGGTTCTGAGGATGTATGATGTAGCTATTACATGAAGGCCTTAGAGCTTACATACAAAAACCTGCATGGATGGGCTGGAGAAGTGGGTCAGAGGTTAGGGGTGTTCACTTCTCTTGCTGAATACCAAAGCTCAGTTCCCAGCACCCATGTAAAGTGGCTCATAACTGCCTGTAACTCCAAATCCAGGGGACTGATTCCCACCTTGGCCCTCTGAGAGCACTGGACTCGCCATGCACAAACCCCCACTGCTACCACCCCCACCACCGCATGCACAAACATAGATACATAATATTTAAAGTAAAAATAAATTTTTGAAAAATCCTGAATATTATAGCTCAACTAGACATTGACCTCTTAATAGTAAACATGAGCTGTTTGGGCCTGATGCCACCACTAACACTGCATACTGTTTTACAGTTGATTTGTTTTTATAAGTAGAAGAGAGGCCTCGAAAATAAGAGTACAGTATTCTAGATTAACCAGACAGTAATTTAATATATTACTCGGGTTGCACATTAATTCTACATTGCACATAATGG